TCTCATTGTAGGACAAGTGGAGGTGCATTTGGACCCAGAAGAACAAAACAAGCTTGAAAGTTGAAACAAACAAACCACACGTACAATGCCACGCCCTGCTGGATCTTCTATAACCACGTGTATGACAGTGACTTCTTCAATCTTCTTGTAGTGGTTTGCAGTTATGGCAACTTTCTACGATCCTTCTTCTCATTGTGCGGACTGTAATGAAAGCAACGTTCAATGGCCTTTGACTTGTTGGGTACATTTCATCTGCGACAAATGTACTCTGAAACGCATTCAGGAAGCACCTTCAAGTCAATGTAGGCTCTGCCGTGACTTGGCAGATACTGATACTCTTGTAACGAAAAGAGAACAGATCAAGGCCTTTTGGATATACGTAGATGACTCAAACATATGGATTGAAGCTAAAAAGCTTGCCAGCAAGATGAGACGTTTCAAGACCAAGGAAGATCACATAGTTAGAATAGATTTTGGTAAACTAACAGAAGTGGTTGCTAATGGTCGTCCTGTAGCTCAAGGGTTTTTGTATGGTTCTGAGCCACCTCCAGTCGATACAGTCTGGAATAAAATAAGGGAAGAAGGTTGGAATGTTACTAAACATAGAGGAAGCAGAATCACTGGAAAGGAGAAGAAGATGACTACACGGCAATTAGTTGTTGACATCACTGAAACGGTCTGCACAACCCCACCAAAAGAAAGAAGCACATTCGTTATAATAACAGGAGATGTAAATGCTATACCTGCCATTAATGTTGCTCTAGAGTACGAATGGAACGTTGAAGTTGTTTTGTGGAAGCATGAAACATCAGCTAAACACAAAGAAATGGAAAAGAAATGGGAAAAGAGACTGAAGCTGCGATATTTAGATGATTTCCTCGAGAAGGTAATCTTTACCAATCGAAAGTTTCAAATTTCTGGCAACGATCACCTAATACCTGATTTGAAACAGTCTGGCATAGTCTTAAGGGTAGATGACAAGAAATTTCCTCGATGGGTCCCAACTACTAATTGGTTCAGGAAGGTTGAAGCTATAGCTCAGTGGCCATTTCAGTGTTACTGGGTTGAAAAATCTAGCAGTACAGAAACCAATGACCTTGTTCTCTTTTTTAAGCGAGATGGAGAGAAAGTTTTTGACTTAACAGAATTTATGTCTAGGCTTGATGACTGCTTGAAAGATTTGTTTATTGTCGACAAACCACAAACATACTTAAGCTATGAACAATTGATGAAGGAAAGTTACTCACTCAATGAAGTTGGACGGTTCGATTATGGAGAA